AAGGATTTGATAAACCATTTCGGGTCTTAATTGATTGTTCACGCTTACAGTGGCTTTCAGACCGCATCCATTATTTTCGTCTCCCCCCTCCTCTCTTCCGAACATAGATGGACTCGTCCATCTGAACGAACTGCCAAATCGCTCTCCGTGGTGCTAACGTTAAAAAAAAACGCCACTTTTTTCAAATTTCTTGCTGTGCTTTTCACACCTGATGATGATTGCTTGTGTTGCAGTCGAAACGTCGTGAGAATTTTATTGTTTTATATTTTTATTATTTTATTGTTTCCCTTCTACGTGGTGACTTTACCGAAAAAAACAAGATTATAGTAAAAAATGTGTCACATTTACAAAAGACAAACGTGACACATTTTTTTTTACTGTTTGGCCGTGTCGGGTGGTGGAGGGTTGCGACACATTCATAAATAACGCGATCTAACCCAAAAACCTTTATAATGAACGAGCTGTACTACCCGGCTTTGCGCGGGACTCGGATTCACCACACACGGCCGCCTTTGTCTCCCCAGTGGCGATGTTGACACACCACAGCAGTTACTCGTTTGAGGCTGAGTCGACCTAGGGGAGGCCCAGGAGCGGTTGAAATAATCGTCACCGGTGGTGGTCGTGAGCGGGAATCGAACTCGGGTCGCCGGGTTCGTAGCGCAGCGTAGCGCTAACCGCTAGACCGCAGTGCGTTACTCTTCCACACACACAGACACACACAGACACACAGACAGACACACACACAGACACACACAGACACACAGACAGACACACACACAGACACATACACAGACACACACACACAGACATACACAGCGCGCTAACCACTACACTACAATGCGTTACGCTTCCACACACACACACAGATACACACAGACATACACACACAGACACACACAGACAACGCTAACCGCTACACTACAATGCGTTACTCTTCCACACACACACAGACACACACAGACACACACAGACATACACACAGACACACACACAGACAACGCTAACCGCTACACTACAATGCGTTACTCTTCCACACACACACAGACACACACAGACACACACACACAGACACACACACAGACAACGCTAACCACTACACTACAATGCGGTACGCTTCCACGTGCGCGGGTCACATGACAGATTTGACGTCACAGCTCACTTGCCGTGCAAAAAGAAATATGCATTATTGAGCTCCCCCCTTCCCCCCCCCCCAAGAAAAGTTAATTTTTCTAATTTCTGCATGGTGTACAGTCTGGAAAGTACCCACATGGCAAATCTCAAGTTTGTTGCATGTCGGGAAGTACGCTGAACATTTTGAACAGACACACACAATCACCGCTTTGCCTTTTATATATATGGAGATGATAACAAATGTATGTTAACAGAGCCCGGAGGCACAACACTTATTGTGGTGTCTGTTGCAAAATTCTCAGAAGTGTTAAACCCCCCCACCATGTGTTTTGAAGCGCCCCTATTGTTTTACAGGGTCTGACCCTAAAAAATCTCACATGGAATCAAAATTGCCGTGCCTCTGCACCGATTGGGCCGAATTTACCCACGTGATCATAAAAACCTTGCACACGGTTTCGGCGGGAAAAAAAATAATAATTTATGGCTTTGCGGCTGCTACGATTGGCCGACCGCGAGCACGTGACCACCCACCTGCATTGCACCGCTCGCGAATTGCATTGATTTGATTGGCTCAAGAGGGGGAACCCGTCACTGGCGCCGGAGTGCCGATTGGCCCGACGCGGGGTTGATTGACGGGGGATATTGCCCCGAGACTAACATTGCCCCTAGACTAACATTGCCTCTTGACTAACATTTCCCATAGACTAACATTGCCCCGAGACTAACATTGCCCATAAACTAACATTGCCCATATACTAACATTGCCCATATACTAACATTGCCCATAGACTAACATTGCCCCTAGACTAACATTGCCCATATACTAACATTGCCCCTAGACTAACATTGCCTCTAGACTAACATTGCCCCTAGACTAAGATTGCCCATAGACTAACATTGCCCCTAGACTAACATTGCCCATATACTAACATTGCCCCTAGACTAACATTGCCCCTAGACAAACATTGCCCATAGACTAACATTGCCCATATACTAACATTGCCCATAGACTAACATTGCCCCTAGACTAAAATTGTCTCTAGACTAACATTGCCCATATACTAACATTGCCCCTAGACTAACATTGCCTCTAGACTAACATTGCCCATATACTAACATTGCCCATAGACTAACATTGCCCATATACTAACATTGCCTCTAGACTAACATTGCCCATATACTAACATTGCCCATAGACTAACATTGCCCCTAGACCAACATTGCCCATATACTAACATTGCCCAGAGACTAACATTGCCCCTAGACTAACATTGCCTCTAGACTAACATTGCCCATATACTAACATTGCCCATAGAGTAGCATTGCCCATAGACTAACATTGCCCCTAGACTAACATTGCCCATATACTAACATTGCCCATAGCCTAACATTGCCCCTAGATTAACATTGCCCCCAGACTAACATTGCCCATATACTAACATTGCCTATAGACTAACATTGCCCATAGACGAACATTGCCCCTAGACTAACATTGCCCATATACTACATTGCCTCTAGACTAACATTGCCTCTAGACTAAAATTTCCCATATATTAACATTGCCTCGAGACTATCATTGCCCATATACTAACATTGCCCATAGACTAACATTGCCCCTAGACTAAAATTGTCTCTAGACTAACATTGCCCATATACTAACATTGCCCCTAGACTAACATTGCCTCTAGACTAACATTGCCCATATACTAACATTGCCCATAGACTAACATTGCCCATATACTAACATTGCCTCTAGACTAACATTGCCCATATACTAACATTGCCCATAGACTAACATTGCCCCTAGACCAACATTGCCCATATACTAACATTACCCAGAGACTAACATTGCCCCTAGACGAACATTGCCTCTAGACTAACATTGCCCATATACTAACATTGCTCCTAGACTAACATTACCCCTAGATTAACACTGCCCATATACTATCATTACCCCTAGCCTAACATAGCCTCTAGACTAGCATTGCCCATATAGTAACATTGCCCCTAGACGAACATTGCCCATCGACTAACATTGCCCCTAGACTAACATTGCCTCTCGACTAACATTGCCCCTAAACTAGCATTACCCCTAGACTAACACTGCCCATATACTATCATTATCCCTAGACTAACATTGCCTCTTGACTAACATTGCCCAAATACTAACATTGCCCCTAGACTAACACTGCCCGTAGACTAACATTGCCCATACACTAACATTGCCCCTAGACTAACATTGCACATAGACTAACATTGCCCATAGACTAACATTGCCCCTAGATTAACATTGCCCATAGACTAACATTGCCCCTAGACTAACATTTCCCATATACTAACATTGCCCATAGACTAACATTGCCCCTAGACTAACATTGCCCACAGACTAACATTGCCCCTAGACTAACATTGCCTAAAAACTATCATTGCCCATAGACTAACATTGCCCCTAGACTAACATTGCCCATAGACCTTAATTGCCCATAGACTAACATTGCCCCTAGATTAACATTGCCCATAGACTAACATTGCCCCTAGACTAACATTGCCCATATACTAACATTGCCCATAGACTAACATTGCCTATAGACTAACATTGCCCACAGACTAACATTGCCCCTAGACTAACATTGCCTATATACTATCATTGCCCATAGACTAACATTGCCCCTAGACTAACATTGCCCATAGACTAACATTGCCCATAGACTAACATTGCCCATATACTAACATTGCCCCTCGACTAACATTTCCCATCGACTGGCATTGCCCCTCAACTACCATTGCCCATATACTAACATTGCCCCTAGACTAACATTGCCCCTAGACTAACATTGCCCAATCATCCAGCAGTGGATTGAGCACGCCTGTTGCTGTGCCCCCCCACCACTCCCCCCCACTACTCCCCTCACTCCCCCCCCACCCCCCATTACTCCCCTCACCACTCCCCCCACCACTCCCCCCAGCACCCCACCACCACTCCCCCGAACCACTCCCCCCCCACCACTCCCCCCACCATTCCCCCCATCACTCCCCCCACCACTCCCCCCCACCACTTCACCCACTCCCCCCACCACTCCCCCCACTCTCCCCCCACCAGTTCCCCCCCCATCACTTCCCTAACTCCCCCCCCACCACTCCCCCCCACCACTCCACCCACTTCCCCCACTCCCCCCACCACTCCCCCCACTCTCCCCCCACCAGTTCCCCCCATCACTCCCCCCACTCCCCCCCCACCACTCCACCCACTTCCCCCACTCCCCCCACCACTCCCCCCACTCTCCCCCCACCATTCCCCCCATCACTCCCCCACCACTCCCCCACCACTCCCCCCCCACCACTTCACCCACTCCCCCCACCACTCCCCCCACTCTCCCCCCACCAGTTCCCCCCCCCATCACTTCCCTCACTCCCCCCCACCACTCCCTCCCACCACTCCACCCACTTCCCCCACTCCCCCCACCACTCCCCCCACTCTCCCCCCACCAGTTCCCCCCCCCCATCACTTCCCCCACTCCCCCCCACCACTCCCCCCACTCTCCCCCCACCAGTTCCCCATCACTTCCCCCACTCCCCCCACTCTCCCCCCACCAGTTCCCCCCCATCACTTCCCCCACTCCCCCCCACCACTCCCCCCACTCTCCCCCCACCATTCCCCCCCATCACTCCCCCCACTCCCCCACACCACTCCACCCACTTCCCCTACCACTCCCCCCACCATTCCCCTCCCCATCACTCCCCCCACTCGCTCCCACTACTCCACCCACTCCCCCCCCCCCCACTATTTCCCCCCCCCACTCCCCCCCACCACTCCACCCACTCCCCCCCCACCACTCTCCCCCCACCATTTCCCCCCCCCCCATCACTCCCCCCACTACCCCCCCCACCACTCCCTCCGCACTGATGGCCGCGTTGTCGGCCTCGCTGCGGTCTCTGACCGCCGTCACCTCGCGGCCACTGCTGCCGCTGCTGCGACCTCCCCCCCTCCTCCTCCATCATCACCACCACCACATCCTCCACCGTCCTCAGCAACAACAGCAACAACAACAGCAGCAGCACCAACAGCAGCAGCAGCAGCGTGGGCACAAGCGATGGCTACGCGCCCACCTCGCACTTCAAGCACGCATGGAGCGCAAGGCCGGGAAGCCGCCGCCCCCGCTACGGTGAGCGGGGTAGCGGGGGAAGGTTTCAGGCAAGGGGCTAGGGCCCGTAGAGCACCCCCTGCCCTTAACTTTTGAATTAACGTCGGGCCTAATATCCCGCTGCGGTGAGCGGGGTGGCGGCGGTGGGGGGTCAGGCAAGGGGCTAGGGCCCGTAGAGGTCACCCCTTAACGTTTAAATTAACGTCGGGCCTAATATCCCGCTACGGTGAGCGGGGTGGCGGGCAGTGGGGGGGGATTTCAGGCAAGGGGCTAGGGCCCGTAGAGGCCTCCCACCTTAACGTTTGAATTAACGTCGGGCCTAATATCGCGCTACGGTGAGCGGGGTAGCGGGCAGTGGGGGGGGGGGGGGGGTTCAGGCAAGGGGCTAGGGCCCGTAGAGGCCTCCCACCTTAACGTTTGAATTAACGTCGGGCCTAATATCGTGCTACGGTGAGCGGGGTGGCGGGCAGTGAGGGGGGGGGCGGGGATTTCAGGCAAGGGGCTAGGGCCCGTAGAGGCCTCCAACCTTAACGTTTGAATTAACGTTGAATGGCCCGCAGCCAGGACCGTGGTTGATTTTATTTGCGACCATACTTCACCAAACGTGGGCAAAGGACGCTGGACACGCGCGCGTGTAACCTGGGTCTCCCCTAGGTCGACCCGGCCACAAATGAGTTAACCTGATGGGGGCGGTGTGTAGCAAACATCGCCACCGGGGAGACAAAGGCGGCCGGGCGTGGTGGTGGTGCAAGTCCTATTACTTATTGGAATTTAATTGTCGTTATTATTATACATTTATTTAACTTAACAATTGTTGTACGATCGATTGTTCTATTTCAATTAAAACATTTTAATAAATGCATGTCGGAAGCAATTCATATTTTTTAAAGTTCCCACCCTTACATCGGAACATACAGAGAAGCGGTTCATATTTTGATGCTTGCATGTGGTAATGCTCCATCACCACGTGTTTTAAATCTATTACACGGTGAAAATTGAAACCAAAGCTTGACTTTTAACAAAAATTTAATCGCAAATCAAATCGCAATCACAAATCAAATCGCAATATCTGTCAGAAAAAATCGCAGTGAGAGATATTTCCCCCCCAAATCGTTCGGCACCTAGGAATCTGTGTGTCTCTCTGTGTGTGTGTAACCTTCGTCAAAGTCAGCACACGCACGCTTAGCCACGTGCCTACCGTGTTGTGCGCGTTCACGTATTCGCTTGTTCACACTCGACACTTTCTAATGTCAAACACATTCTCCCGCGGGAGGTAGCTGGTAGGAAACGTTGGGTTGCTGGGTCAATGGCCAGGGTCAACAACGGGCGGCACCACGTGGTGCATTCCGCACAATATGGCCGACTGTGAGGGCGGGCACAAGCCGGAGTGAGTAGGTGAAACGTTGAGTTTTATAAGGGGGGCACCACGGGGTGACCAGCCCCTCCCCACCCCATCCAGCCCCACCCCTCCCACCCCCCACCCTCCCCACCCAGCCCCTCCCCACCCAGCCCCACCCCTCCCACCCCCCTCCCAGTCCCACCCAGCCCCACCCAGCCCCTCCCCACCCTCCCCACCCAGCCCTTCCCTCCCCACTCGGCCCCTCCCTCCCCACCCGGCCCCACCCTCCCCACCCAGCCCCTCCCCACCCAGCCCCTCCCTCCCCACCCGGCCCCTCCCTCCCCACCCAGCCCCTCCCCACCCGGCCCCACCCTCCCCACCCAGCCCCTCCCCACCCGGCCCCTCCCTCCCCACCCGGCCCCACCCTCCCCACCCAGCCCCTCCCTCCCCACCCTCCCCACCCTCCCCTCTCCACCTCCCATTTTTGGATGCACGACGGACGGACGGACACAATAATCCCCTGTGGTGCTGGTGTAACCAGGAGGTTCCTACCAGTATTAATTCAACAAACTACAACATCAGCTAGTTGCTCTTAAACTAGTCCTGAATATCTCCAAAACCAAGGTGCTATGCTTCTTACCAGGACTAAAGCAGGAAGTTATTTTTCCCCAATGACATTCCTTAAATAATTATCAAATAGAGCAAGTCAAGATCTATAAGTATCTTGGGGTCATCCTGGATTCAAAACTGAATTTTGAAGATCACATTGATTATATTGGTAAAAAGACAAAAATAAAAATTGGTTTTCTGTATCGACACAAGCACTGCTTCCCCCCTATGTACCGTTTGGAATTGATAAAAGCTACCATACTGCCTCTACTTGACTACTGTGACATCGTGTATAAATCAGTCCCAAGTACTGTACTGAAGAAGCTTGATTCCATCTATCATTCGGCCTTAAGATTTGCATTCAACTGCCCATATAGGACTCACCACTGTGATCTCTACATTGGGTCAAACTTAACATCTCTTAATGTTCGATGGCTTGTGCACCAGATCTTATTTATTCACGATGTACTTACAAAAAATTCCGCAGACTACCTGCTGCTGGATCTCCTCTCTGTTTCAAAGAACAAATTTGACCTCAGGTCTTCGCTCATTTACCAGCTTCACATTCCCTATTGCCGTACAAAAACCGGAGGAAGGGCCTTTGCTATTGATGCCCCCAGGGTCTGGAATGCTATTGCCAATAAACTGCAACTTGAATCACTACCTATGAGATCTTCACTCAAAACTGCTCTCGAAGAGTTGTACAACCCTAGCTGCCACTGCTATTCAGTGGCCTAAAATATGGCTCTAGATTTTGGTGTTATAATTTATTTATTTAGTTTATTGTAAAAAAATTCAGTCACAGTCCCTATGATCACTTACATTGCATTCATGGCTTTTATTTTGGTGATTTCGAAAAGTTTTTGTTTTGTTTTGGCCATGTTTTTGTTTATTGTAGTACGGAGTTAGACTGATGGCCTTAATCTTAGTTGTCTTGTGGTTGTTGTTGTTGTTATTTGACTTGCATCCCACTGGGATTTTTGCACACAGCGTTGGTGTACGGTGCTATTTCAGGAATATTTTGATATTTTTTTCCTGTATTTTCTGTTTGCACAGTCACACATAATCACATTAAGAGGGCTATACCAAATAAATGAACTACGAACTATGAAGCACCGCTCGTAAACGTCGCGATCTGTGTTCTCTTTACCGAAAGAAGCAACGGGGGATGGATTCCGGAAGTCACGAACGCTTTGAGCAGAAGATCGTGGGGCGGGCTACTCGCGGTGGACGTGCAAAAGCAAAACGCGTGGCTCTGATAACGCTGCGTAGCGAAAAAGATTAAAAATAAAAAAAATGTTTTGTCCCCTGGATGAAAAAAAGTGTTATTTTCCAATTGCTCATGCCTCAAAAGTACGCGAGATGGCTTTGATTCCCCCCCACCACAAGCTTTGCTTCTGCGAGCAGGACGGTTGACATTTTGATAACGCGGTGTGCATTTGTGTCATTCCTTCCCTCCCCCACCACTGTTATCGCCGCCGCCATCGCCAACACCACCACCGCCACCACCACCACCGCCACCACCACCGCCACCACCACCACCACCACCACCGCCACCACCACCACCACCACCACCGCCACCACCACCGCCACCATCACTACCACCACCACCACCACCATCACCGCCACCACCATCACCACCACCGCCACCACCACCACCACCACCACCGCCACCACCACCACCGCCACCACCACCGCCACCACCACCGCCACCGCCACTACCACCACCACCGCCACCACCACCACCGCCACCACCACCGCCACCACCACCGCCACCGCCACTACCACCACCACCGCCACCACCATCACCGCCACCGCCGCCACCACCGCCACGACCACCACCACCGCCACCACCACCGCCACCACCACCACCACCACCACCGCCGCCACCACCGCGCAGACGCGAGCGTGACAACTTTGACCTGAGTGCCGAACTCGCGGCGCTCGCCTGCCGCTTGGGCGAGGAGCATCTGAGCCCCGGGCAGCTCGCCGCCGCCGTCCGTAGCCCCTGCTGCGACCGCGGCCGCGGCCGTGGCGGCGAGAACCACGGCGAGCTGGCCGGGGACGGGGCCCGGTTGACCGCGGAAGTCCTCGACTCCGAGCTTGCCCGGGACTTCCCCCGGATGCCCGACGGGGGACGCGACGCCCTGAGGACGTTTCTGATGAGCGATGAGGTGAGGAGGAGGAGGAGGTTGGGTGGGGGGTGGTGGTGGTGGTGACGGTGGTGACGGTGGTGGTGGTGGTGGGGGTGGTGGTGGTGGTGACGGTGGTGGTGGTGATTTGTTACAGTCTTGTTGCAGAGGGTTACCGCCACCGCGGGCACCACCACTGAGTCTCACCACCACCACCAAGTCTCACCACCACCACCATCACCACCACCACCATCACCACCACCAACACCATCACCAAGTCTCACCACCACCACTACCACCTCCACTACCACCACCACCACCACCACCGCCACCACCATCACCACCGCCACCACCACCACCACCACCGCCACCACCAACACCACCACCAACACCACCACCAACACCACCATCAACCACCAACCACCACCACCAACCACCACCATCACCACCAACACCACCACCAACACCACCACCAACACCACCACCATCACCAAGTCTCACCACCACCATCACCACCACCAACACCATCACCAAGTCTCACCACCACCACTACCACCACCACTACCACCACCACCACCACCACCGCCACCACCATCACCACCGCCACCACCACCACCACCACCGCCACCACCATCACCACCACCACCGCCACCACCACCACCACCACCACCACCGCCACCACCACCGCCACCACCACCACCACCACCCCCCACCACCAAGTCTCACCACCACCACCACCGCCACCACCACCGCCACCACCACCACCACCACCCCCCACCACCAAGTCTCACCACCACCACCACCCCCCCCCCCCGTGTCTCCCCGCCCCCAGACGCTGAGTGGGGTGGCGAGGGCTCTGGGCTTGGCTCACCTGGTGCTGGCCGCCCGAGACCCCCCCCCTGACTCGGCGCTGGCTCGCTCGCTGCTCGCCATCGTGAGCCTCGTGAGAGCCAGCGGCGGTGAAGAGCGCACCATCGCCTTCCTGCAGGTACTCACCACTCATCGCTCACCGCTCACCACTCACACCACTCACCACTCACTACTCACTACTCACCACTCACACCACTCACACCACTCACTACTCACCACTCACCACTCACTGCTCGCTCGCTGCTCGCCATCGTGAGCCTCGTGAGAGCCAGCGGCGGTGAGAAGCGCACCACCAACTTCCTGCAGGTACTCACCACTCACCACTCCTCACCGCTCACTACTCACCATTCACCACTCACCACTCACACCACTCACACCACTCACTACTCACCACTCACACCACTCACTACTCACCACTCACACCACTCACTACTCACCACTCACCACTCACACCACTCACTACTCCTCACCACTCACCATTCACCACTCACTACTCACCACTCACTACTCACCACTCACACCACTCACTACTCACCACTCACCGCTCACCACTCACACCACTCACTACTCACACCACTCACACCACTCACCACTCACACCACTACTCACCACTCACCACTCACACCACTCACTGCTCGCTCGCTGCTCGCCATCGTGAGCCTCGTGAGAGCCAGCGGTGGTGAGGAGCGCACCACCAACTTCCTGCAGGTACTCACCACTCACACCACTCACTACTCACCACTCACCACTCACTACTCACCACTCACCACTCACTACTCACCACTCACCACTCACTACTCACCACTCACCACTCACTACTCACCACTCACTACTCACCACTCACCACTCACTACTCACCACTCACCACTCACTACTCACCACTCACCACTCCTCACCGCTCACCACTCACCACTCACTACTCACCACTCACCACTCACTACTCACACCACTCACACCACTCACTACTCACCACTCACTACTCACCACTCACACCACTCACACCACTCACTACTCACCATTCACCACTCACTACTCACCACTCACCACTCACTGCTCACCACTCACCACTCCTCACCACTCACCACTCACTACTCACCACTCACTACTCACCACTCACCGCTCACCACTCACCACTCACACCACTCACTACTCACCACTCACCGCTCACCACTCACTACTCCCCACTCACTACTCACCACTCACTGCTCGCTCGCTGCTCGCCATCGTGAGCCTCGTGAGAGCCAGCGGCGGTGAGGAGCGCACCACCAACTTCCTGCAGGTACTCACCACTCACCACTCACACCACTCACACCACTCGCTACTCACTACTCACCACT